CCGCCTGGTACGTGCTGGGGAAATACTGGACCTGCGGCACCCATGCCAAGCGGGTTTCAGNCGGGGTTTTGGCACTGCTCACCACCTCTTTGTCAAGCAACACCTGGTCAGNCGGCATCGGATCGCGGGACAACCGCCGTTGATAATAGTACAGATTGACTTTGAGAAGGCCTTTGATAGGGTGCCTCGCGAGCACATGTGGCTTCGGTTGCAGGAGAGGGGGATTAGCGGCCCCATGCTAGATGCTCTGAGAAAAGCGTACGAGAAGGTGTCCATGGTGATGAAGGTAAATGAGAAAGTGGGGGGAGAGTTTGAGTCTAAGCAAGGAGTGAAGCAAGGGTGTCCTTTATCTACGGAGTTGTTTGGACTCTTCATCGAGACACTAGCCGATCTGATTGATACTCATGACCTTGTAGAAGCTGGTGCACGTAAGTGTGACGCACCCCTTGTGGACAGCAAGCGCGTCTCCATACTGTTGTATGCAGACGATGTTAGTCTGCTAGCGACGTCAGTAGAGCGAATGTCTGAGTTGCTACATCTTGTGGACTTGTTTTGTGAAGCTTTTGGGATGCGACCAAATGTCTCAAAGTGTGAAAGGCTTGTTTTTGCATGTGACGGCACCCAGCAGTCGGAACTTAGCGGGAGATGTCAACAGTTACGGCTATCAGGCCAGGTAGTACCTGCCAAAGATAGCGCTCGATATCTGGGCTTGGTATATGGGCCAGAACGGCCTTTTAGTGCGTGCCGTCAGCAGTTGTGTGATACAGGTCGGTCCGCTATGTTTTCCTTAACCGCAAAGCTGGACAAAATGAAGCTGTTTGCCCCCGATGTGCGAATGCGGTGTTTTGCAACCCAAGTCCGAGCAATTCTGTTGTATGGCTGCCAGGCGTGGGGCCCTTTTGCGCTGGCAGAGGTCGTGAACAGGGCGGGAAGGCGGCGGGATAAAGCCAACCTTGCGGAGGGCATGTTCGAAGCCTGTTTGAAGGATAGTGCAGTCCAGCTGCAGATTTTATTCATGAGGCAGGTAGTGGGGACGGCACGGCCATCCCACAGGCTGTTGTATGCGGAGCTGGCTGAACTCCCCTTACAATATTACGTGGTGAAGCAGATCCTCCGTTTCTGGAACCGCCTTCAAAAGCAAGTGGGATCCATTGCTCATGCAGTTTTACGGCAGGAGATAACCGATGCCCTGACCAACCCGGAATGGGAGGGTTGGGGAATCTCAATGTTACGACTGTTTTCCTTCTTGGAGTGCAACATTTGGAGCGGAATACCGCAAGAAGTCGTGGGGGTAAAGGAACGTGTTGACTGGTTGTTGAGTAGACCTCTACCAGAAGGAGCGATAATAACGGCATTAAGAGAGCGTTTGATGAGCGGCTGGGACCATACGCGTCTGACTGTCTTGCCAGAGGAGTACCCATCAGATGGGAAGCAACCGGGAGTGCAAATGGCGAAGTATAAGCACTGGATGGGGCTGCCCTTTTCGGGAGCCGCAGCCGTCATGTGGCCAACACATGCTAAGGTTTTCATTCCTCGTTTAGCACATCGTAAGCTAATGCAGTTTCGTTTATGTTGTTGGGCTTTGGAGGCGAACAGAGCACGAAGGGGCAAGTACCATGTCCCCAGGGGGCAGCGGTTTTGCCACTGTTGTGGTCCTAATAGCCGAATTGAGGATGAAAAACACGTGTTATTGGAATGCCCAGCCTGTAATGATATTCGTGCTGAAGAGGGATTCGATCATCAACAGAGCATGTTGGAGGCCATGAAATGGGAACCAGCACGTCTGGCGAGGATGTTGGAACGTATGTGGGCTCACTGAAAGTCAATTACCCCCTTTGGACGCTAATCTGGGCTGATGTGCGGTGTTTTTCCTTTTCTCCGTGGCTTTTAGGCGTTGTAGTATTGCCCTTGGGCCCTCGGCTCGTATGGGTAGTCTTACAGGTATGGGGTCACGCACCCCCAACCATGTAACACACACACACATGCACACACACACACACACACACACACACTCCCTCTTAGCATCCGGTGTGTGCTGCGGCCAGCTTTGCCGCAGTGTGCTTGCTAATTGGTGGATGATGACATCGCCGCCTACAGCGATATGGTCAAAAATCGCAACCAAGACTGGTGGAGTGTTTTCACACTGCTGCACAATGCTGGCCTGAAGATTTCCCTAAGACTTCTTCGGCGCCGTTGGATTTGGTAGCTGGTGGCTTCGTGGTTACTTCCAACCTGTCATGCCTTGCAATGAAGAGTTGAGATGTTATGCCACGACTTCAGAAAAGTATCGATCTGCGGATTCAGATCCCGTGATACGCCTTACAGAGTGCTACATGCGACCGGTCCATGCTGGGCAATTACAAAGGAGGGAAGACGGTTGTTACAGGCCGGGAGGCCGGCCATGGCGGCTCGCGGATGGCGGTGGCGATGGTTTCGGAAAGTCCGGGGACGAAGGGTTCGGGGGTGTGGGGCTGGGGAGGCGAAGCTGGCGGCGGGTGCTGGGAGTGGTACGGTGGAGTGGAGGCCGTAATGTGGTCAATAGGGTCGGTGACGGGGCCGGAGTTGTCCAGAGGTGAGAAGGGGTTAGCGGGGTGTCCTGTATAATCGTCGGCTTCACCAGGCCGTGAACGGGAGCGGTTGGGGGTGATGCGATGATCGCAGGGGCGGGACGGCGGAAGGCCAGTAGGCTCGGAGAAGACAGCGGAATATCGTTCGAGGATGGAGTGGAGTTGTCTGTGAACGGAGTTGTCTGTAAACTGTGAAACAGCATGAGTACCGAATGTCCCCGACCGAACTCCAAGAGCTTGACCGGCAACTCAAGGACTACCTCGACCGTGGCTGGATTCGCCCGTCTTCGTCGCCTGTTGGCTCTCCAATCCTGTTCGCCCACAAACCTGGCGGCAACGGACTGCGTCCCTGTGTCGACGTCCGCGCGATCAACCAGCTCACCGTCAAGAATGCGCAGCCAATGCCCTTTGTGGACGAGCTCCTCGACCAGTTGTACGGCGCAGCCTACTTCATCATCAAGTACGTGTACACGAACCGGACGTGCATAAAAAACATTTCGGTGTAAGTACGGTGATGAGTATATGCTTCGGTCTGTTGGTAGAAAAGCATTTTACTATGCCTATAAGTTATGTTAAGTTGGAGCTAGCTAGCATGTCGTAGAATGATTCCTAAAGCATGGCATGGATTATTACAATCATGTATGTATAGGAAGGAACAAATAAGCATACAGTATTCCCAGCTTTTAGAAATGCCTTTAGCAGGTTGAAGGTTTCCGAAAACCGTTAGCTTTGCGATTATGGCGCTCCCCGAAGTCCATGCCGTGGCAATCGAGGCCCAGTATGCAGCGCAAGCTGCGGCTGAGGTTCTTGGGCGTCTGACGGCCGCTCTTGGAACCAGGTCCGCTTTGAAGCAGAGCGAAGCTTTGAAGCAGAGCGAATAGCGTCAGCCGTCTTGACACAGCTCTTTTCCCTCTTCCCACCAGCTCTCAGCTCATGGGTGCGTGGCTTCAAGAGCGTGACGCCCTTTATGCACGCCAACGGCAGTTGGAGCAACAGCTGGAGACCATCCAGCTGCAAGCAACGCAGGAAAGGGAGCAGCTCGCGTTCCAGTAAGCACAATTTAGTAGCAAAAAATCCATAGTACCATGAAGGGACTGCTTCTTCCCGTGCCCCACGTTCTCGTTGCCTTATTGTTTAAATGCGCATCTGCTCTCCTTGGGCCCCTGCAGCACCCCCGTCCCCCGACCCTCTTCCCTGACCCAAATCCGCTGCCCCTCCTCCTGAAAGGCAGGCGTGCGTCAGGCAGCTCGAAGCGAAACTCAAGGAGTTGCACAGTGAGTTGGAAGCCTCCTGCGCAGAGCACCGGGCAGCGCAGGCAGCCCTAGAAGCCGAACGCACGCAGCGGCTGCAGGAGCAACAGCAGCAGCTGCAGCTTTTTCAGCAGCAAAACCATGAGCTGGCTCAGCGCCAACTTGTGGACCAACGAGTCCCACAGTTGCACCACTGCCATCAGGGCCTGCAGCAGCAGCAACAGCAACAGGAACCCATTCTGCTGCCTCACCAACACCACCACCACCAACAAGAGCAGCAACAACAACAAGAGCAGCAGCAGCAGCAGCCTTCTGGCGATGCGTCCCTAGTGTGTACACCCGTTCGCGGGCGCCACATGCATCACATGCACCAACAGGAGGAGGTCCTCGCACGGGGAATCTCTCACCACCACGACAGTCACGAGGGAAGGGGCACCAGCACACGTGACCACCACGACAGTCACGAGGGAAGGGGCACCAGCACACGTGACCACCACGGCGTTCATCTTCGTGCCGAGCAGCAGCTGCTGGCGGGTAGAGATGGCCCCGCGACAACAACGACCCCTGAAAACAATAACAACAATAACAACAACAGCAAGAGAAATACCACCACTACCACCACCATCACCACTAGCACCACTAGCACCCGATCAGACGGCACCACCACACCACGCAGCGCGTCCTCGGACGTGTCTTTGCCGCCCAGCCAGCCCCGAAACCGCCTAGCGTATCACGACAGAGTGCCAGAGACCCTTTTCTTCACGAACCTCTGGCAGGAGGATTTGTTCGGGGGTGCGGTCGAATGCATTACTGGGGGGGCCCCGGAAGACGGCGGTGGCGATGGCGACTCGGCGGCAATTGCGGCAGCAGCAGCGGTAGCAGCGGTAGCGGTAGCGGAGCTGCGGGATCCGCATGGAGAGGGTACTGCAGCGGCAGCGGTGGCGCCACCGCTGGCCTCAGGCACCGCCATCACCACTGCTGCCGCAGGGGCAGGCCCTTCCTCGGCTGCGGTTGCACAGGTTGGCCAGGGTGGGTGTCCAGGGGTTGTGGAGCTTCATGACACCACCGCATGACACCACCGCGACCGTGCGCCCCTGTTAGCTGTTCACAACACGTAAAAAGGACACCCCCCGACTTCCTAACAGACACTTCCCCGCACCTCCGCCGGATCGCGCCTCCCTCCTGCCCTGTTGGAATGAGAATGAGAATGAGGATGAGGATGAGGATGAGGATGAGAATGAGGATGAGGATGAGAATGAGGATGAGGATGAGAATGAGGATGAGGATGAGGATGAGAATGAGGATGAGGATGAGAATGAGAATGAGGATGAGAATGAGGATGAGGATGGGCCTCTCCCAAGTCCGGGGGTTGGATTCGGAGGGGCCTGAGGAAGTATTATTTTTGGACCAGTTGAGGGAGCAGTCTCCCAGAGAGCGTACGTAGTCTGAGGGTCTAAGAAGGCATTATGGGTAGGTAGTGTCACCGGGTTCTTGCTAACCAGAGCCGCTATAACCCAATCAATTAATCACAAACACCAGCAGGCAGCGGCGGGCCGCAGAGATGCTGCAGTCGGGGGCAAAACTGGAGAGGAGGGCGATGTCACGCAGCCGCCGCGGCTGCCGTCACCGCGGGCCCCTGCCTTCTCAACCGCGGAGGAGAGGAAGCTCTTGGATGGGGCGGCGGCGGCGGCGGCGGCGGAGCCTGCCGTCGACGCTGCTGCTGCTGCAGCGGCGGCAGCATGGGCTTCCCGCGAGCAGGAGCTCACGCAGGATCATGCGGTGCAGCTGGAAGCCGCGTGGTCGGAGGTACGCGTGCGTGTATGTATGTATGTGTAGAGGGTGTGCGTGTGCATGTGGGTGGGTGTGGGTTTGTTCGTGTTCGTGTTCGTGTTCGTGTTCGTTTTCTATGGGGCCCCAGATGCGGGTAGCTCCTTTCTCCGTCACCCGCATGTCACATCACATCACCACATGCGGCAACAATGAGACGTCAGCGGCAGCAGCAGAGACAACGGGGCCTTGACGGCGGAATATGGGTGCGGCGGCACTGCCGTACCGTAGCGGGACAACCGGCCTTGCGTCAAAAAGATGTGTATCGGAGGCTGCGGGACTCTTCCGCAGGGCGGTGTTTCATCCCGGTAATAACAGCTCTCTTGCCGGGTGGATTGGCCTGGGAGAACGCTGTCTACAACCCACATATGCACCCCCAGCCAACGCATTTGCACTCCCGGCACCCAAACCATATGGGCAGTGGAACCCCCGGATGTAGGTGAGGCAATACGCTCCTCATACGTTCCTCATACGCTCCCCATACGCTCCAAATCAAATCCCCTAAGGCAGAAGCTGGTGATTTTGACGTTGGCTTAGTGGACCTTGCGTGTATGTGATTCCAACCCTTCCGGCCTACCTCTCTCTACATTGTCCCTCCTCCTTCTGCTTCACCGTTTTTGCTCATGCAGGCCCCAGACGCCCTGCCGGGTCAGGGCGGGCGACGGGGGGGTCGGGGAATCTTTCGAAAATCTCCCCGTCGTCGTCTTTCACCCCGCCCCCCGCCCAGTCCTCTCCCGCCTTCCTTCCCCCGTTATTGCCGCCGCCCTCCCCTCCTCAGAATAAGGCCCTGCAAGCCGACCTTCAGCGCCTGATGACGTATCGCCGTACCGCCCAGGAGCTTCGAGCTAGTAACCAGGTGGGGCTGTCGCCTGTTTTGGATTCTACGATTTTACGGATTTTGGATATTTTACTCGTG